TTTTAAATAGCGCGGCTCCTAGTGGTGCCCTGTGTTGGAAATTTTTATCCGTCAATTGTGTATTCTTCAGTGTTGTCGTATGGAATTTATATAACAGCTGATTTGTATAACAGCTGATATATCGCGCTAAATGTGACATTACATTTGTAGTGTTGGTCGGAAAATGAACATCGAACAAAGAGCCAACATTAAGTTTTGTTTTAAACTTGGTAAAACTTTTACCGAAACTCATCAAATGATGAAACAAGTTTATGGCGATGATTGTCTATCCCGTAGCCGTATTCACGAGTGGTTTAAACGTTTTCAAGAAGGACGGGAGGACTTGGAAGACGACGAACGTTCGGGCCGGCCAAAAGATGTTGTGAACGAAAAAAACACGGAAATTGTGCGTGAATTCATTAAAAATGAGCCGAATCATCGCTTAAATATATGGAATCGGAATTATCAATATCCGCAGCGTCGATTTATCGTATTTTGACAGAAAATTTGGGTCTCAGAAAGGTTTTTGCTCGATTTGTTCCGCACACTTTGAAACAACACGAAAAAGACCTCAGAATTCAACATTCAAGAGACATCATTAAAGAGGCCAAAAAGGACCCAAACTTTTTATATTAGATTGTGACTGGTGACGAAACATGGTGCTTTGAATACGAGCCCGAAACCAAGCGTCAAAGTGCGAAGTGGCAGTCTTTAGAGGAGCCGAGGCCGAAAAAAACTCGTCAACAGAAGTCACAAATCAAGTCAATGTTGATTTGTTTTTATGATTCCAAGGGCATTATTCATAAAGAATTCGTTCCAACTGGCCAAACGGTTAACGCGGTGTTTTATGTTGGTGTTTTGAAGCGTTTGGTAGCACGTATTCGTCGAATTCGGCCGGAATATTGTGAAGAAGGAAGCTGGCGATTATTGCATGATAATGCACCATCTCACCGTTCGACACTCACGATGGATTTTTTGACCAAAAATCGCATTCATACCATCAACCATTCACCCTATTCGCCTGATATGGCACCGTGTGATTTTTATTTGTTCGGAAAACTACATTTGGCCATGAAAGGATACCGCTATGCTGACGTTGATGCCATCCAACAGGCGGCGACCGCCATCCTCAACGCTATACCGACAAATGACCTAAAAAAGTCGTTCGATCACCTTCTTGAACGTGCAAAACGTTGTATTCAGTCGGAAGGAGACTATTTTGAAGGCGACCAATAAATTTTTCAAAAAAAAAAATAGTTTTCGTTTTTTAATAAAAGTCCTGGAACTTTTGAATTGCACCTTGTAGAGGGCTCTGCCTTTGGGGTTGATAGTGCGGGAACCACACCATATGTGTTTGGCGTTAAAGTCACCTCCAGCAATAAACCGTGACCCAAGGTTGTCCAACAGACCATGGAGTGGTCGTTGTTTTGTTTTCGTGGTGGACAGTACACGGCCGCAATTGTTGTGTCTCCAGTTGGACTGAGTACTCTTTTCTTGGCACACTGTGCCCATGGCTCCTGGTATGCCGGGAGTTCGATATATTTAATCCCGCTCCTGATGATTACAGCCGCTCCGCCTCGGGCATTGCCGCTGGGATGGTTCACGGCTATGACATCATAGCCGCTAATGGTGAAGAAGGACCTGGGGGAGAAGTGAGTTTCCAAGACGAGGAGTATGTCAACGTGGTTTGTCTTGAGGTAATGTTCGACCTCGGGCCTGCTCTTGCACAGACCGTTCGCGTTCCATATAATTATATGGAGATTTATTTGCATTGCTTCGCCAAGAGTGACGTGAGCAATTGCATCATGTCAGCAAATTGATCAAGCATTTTCTCCATCATGGCTTCCAGACGGTCCATTCTGGAGTTTATTGCATTCGGGGCAGAGGGAGTGGTATCAGACTGATGCGGGGGTTGTTGGGATCCACGTAGCGTACTGGCGAAACTAATGCTAGGAACAACTGTGGATGTCACGCGGCTTGAGGTCGGTAACAAGGGCCTTGGTTTAGGTGAATGGAGCTGCTTGGCCTTCTGATACACCTTACAGCCTTTATAGGAGGCTGCATGATTGCCCTTACAGTGGGCGCAACAGGCGGGAATCTCTTTGGATTTGGTGCACTCGATAGAGCTGTGGTCTTCGCCACACTTAACGCATTAAGGTGGAAACCGGCAGTATTTTTGGGAGTGCCCGAAGTCTTGGCATCGATAGCACTGCATGATATCCTTGGATTTCAGTGGTGGTTCAATCGTGACAACACACCTACATAGCCGTTTTATACCAAAGGCGTCCTTGTTGTTGCTGGCGGGTTCGAAGTTCACGAAGACCATAGACAACGGCATCTTGTTGCTACGGCTGACAGCGTTTTTGATCTCACGGCCTCGAACCGTGTGTCCATGTTCTGCTAAGGCTTCCTTAATGTCATCTATGTCAGTGGAGTGATGCAGTCCTTTGACAACTATCCTATAGGCACGCTCATCCTTAGCCTGGAAAGTCTGGTAACTGATGTCGTTCGTATTGAGGTAGCTTTTAAGCTTTGAGAAGCTCTCCTTATCAACAAGATTGACCCTGACGCGACCGTCTCTGACAGCCATATAGTCAAAGTTCACTTTTCCAATGGCCAGATCAACGTCCGTTATGAATTCCTTGATGTCGCCGACATCAGGAATGAAAATCGGTGGTGGCTTGATTATCCTCTCTGGGGCAGTAGGGGCGTCCTGAAACTTATCGGCTTCGTCGTCTTCTTCTCCTTCTCCATCGCTTCCATCGGAGAGCGCAGCGAATCTGTTAGCATTATTGAATTTGCTATTAGTGGCTTTGGGATTATTGCGCTGCGAGGCTTTGCGAGGAGGGGCTTTGCGAAGAGGGGCTTTGCGTTTTATCTCCCTTGGCTCCATGCCGGACGAGCTTGCTTCACCATCGCTCGAGCTATCTAGCTGTGCTTTAGGAGACACATTTGATACATTTGCCTGCTTCGCTGATGGGACTCCACTAGGATTGAAGTGTTCTCTTGGTAGAAACTTCGGTGGCGTTAGCTGCCACTTTGGTTTATGTGGGGCTGGTGGGACCATAGTGCCTGTTGGGGCCGCTATGGCGACAACAACAACGAACTATTGCAGTTATGAGCGAGTGAAAACTTGAACTAGGTATCTGGATTTTTTGAAGACGCACTAGACGCGTTTATATTAAGAAATGAAATATAAAATATTTTTACGGAGCGCACAATAAAAACACGACTTCTCACTTTGACGTTTATCTCAGTGATATATGTAGATGAATACACATTTTTGTTTTTCTTTATTGAAGAAACTTTGTTATAATTTTTATTTTGGAAAACAAAAATATGTTTATAACAATCATTTATACATCTTATGTATTTCTAATTGCATATAAAGTAAAAAAAAAAAAAAATCTTAGTTTTGAAGTATAGTCTGATGGAAGAAAATGTCGCGTGCGACAGTGATTAAAATTAAATAATAATTAAGCTACATAATATTTTTGAATCAAATAAAAAGCATTATTAAGATACATCAATGCATAACATCTAAAAAAAATTAGTCGCATTAAAATATTCCTTCAGGTTTCGCTGAAATCGGTGTTTGAACTGTTAGCTGAGAAAGCGACTTCTATATATGTCGTGTGCGAATGCCTTGGCTTTTTTTAAATTATCTGGAAAACTAACCGATTCCCAAAATCCACCTTAGCACCAATAATAGAGCTAGTTAAGAGCTAAAACTTTCTCCTTTTGTGAAAACAAAATTATATTTTGACCACGCCTCCTTCTACCTGTTACATTTTTCAGCTCGCGCAAAGCTAATATACTCTTGTACATTTCATGTACAGAATATAATCAGCTGTGGTATGTGAAGATGCGTGCATGAACATAACAGTATAATCTGAAATATATAAATATGAAGCAGGCGAACGAATACAAAGATAAAACGCCAGCTGTTGGCTTTAAACGTTTTGCTACTTTTTGTGTTCTTTTCATTCATTTTGTCTGCGAACATTTATTCGCCTGCGCCCTAGTGCTGAAAAATAATCTATGTTGACTGAACCTGTCAGACTTTCTTTCAGCTATTTTCACAAAAATAAAATCTATTAATCGTAAAGCTGAACAAAATTAATTTTTATTGTCGTTTTCGAGGAGATCAGACAGTTTCAGTGACATTTTAAAGTAATAATGTGCTAATTCAGGTATGCATATGACTTCATACGATCAATCGACTCTTAATAAACAAATCGATGTTTAACAAAAATGTTAAAGATAGATTAAATCGATTTCGAACCACGAAGTTTCACTTCTATCGCGTGTCGCCCTGACACACAACTTTTTTTTTATACCATATCCCGACTTTTTAAGTAAGAAATTATATATAAGTACATAACTTTTCCACTTCTGTCGACTTATCTTGCTATTTAAGTTTTTGAAAGCGTTAACTCTTCTTAAGCTTCGTTTAAGAAAATAGAAAATAGATCACTTGATCACAAACAAAAATTTGTTTCAATACCTGGTCAAGTTCCAAAGATAAATGAAAAACCAATTGCATGATGACGCAAAAATGTAGCCGATTGAAAAGAAAAGATAATAGTAAAAACCACATAATGGTATATTGTTGTTATCTTTGTCAGTGATAGTGCATGAAAAGGTGAGAAAAATATAAACCAAAAAATTGCTTAAAGTTTACAAAAACAAAATCAGAAGCAATTATATTTGGCTGATGTAGGTGTGCTAACCTGATGACGCGCAGCTATGTATGTATATGTGTTCGTAAATACAAAGTATTTGTTTTACCACATCGGACGTACCAAAGTAGTTTGCCATTTGGTAGTTTCTTTTAAAACTTTAGAGAGAAATATCATATAGTCAATAAACTTATAATTGTAACCAAAAATACTTAGCACAGAAAAGGCAGGCAAGACCTGCTAGTATACATGCACTAATATATAAGGTAAATAATATTGGAACGAACGAAATTCAATACAAATCTAATTATTGTTCCAAAAACATCGAACTTAACTTACCTATAGTCAATAGCTGAGTTCCATAAATGAACTTGAATTTCTGTTACAAGAGCAAACGGCTGATATGCATCAATAGGAAAATCCTGAAATTGTATGATGTTAAGCATTACTTCACTTAATTTCTGTTAGCGCTAAAAATTTGAAATGATGAAGACATTATAAATAAAGTATGAACATAACTTATTGAATAATTCAAGAAAAAACTCTAAAGCATATCTGAAAGTAAATAAATACCCTGTACTCAAACAAACTTCCGCCGCTAGTTATACGCTCCCAGCAAAATAAAAAGAAGAAGAGCGAGCCCCTGTATTGTTGTTCTGGCACGGGTATACTCTATTTTGTGCACCCCAAAAATAAAAGAAGTTATGCCTTGGTCTGGAGGAGTATGTCGTAAGGCAAAGTTGCTGATTGGTTCTACCTGGTGGACCCAGCGCGATCCTTATTTGACTGCGCCTCAAGCCGACTCATTCCCTCCACGTGGGGACCTCTGGTAACATTGGACTAGCATCCGCTGGTGCAATGGCTAAAATGAGCGACGAACGCTACCTCGGTTTGAGGTTGGTGCGCTGGGCTTGGTACCCGCCACTGTAAAAAACGCCAAACCAATGAAAACGTTGAGAAAGCCTCGGATACGGACTCCCTCTGATGACGACCTACGCAAACGTTTTAAGGACCACGATATACGGATATGCACTTGGAATGTCCGAACCCTCCATAGGGAAGGTGCCACTATCCAGCTGGTAAATGTTCTACAGAAACATAGAGCTGACATTACCGCACTCCAGGAAATGCGATGGACTGGGCAGGGATGCTCGAAAGTATTTACCTTCGACATCTGCTACAGCGGCCATATAGAAAAGCGCGAATTCGGATGTGGATTTTCTGTGAATCAAAGACTGCGACATATTGTCTCCAGATTCATACCGTTCGATGAACGCCTGGCAGCAATCCGCATCAAGGCAAAATATTTCTATATTAGCATTATTTGCGCCCATGCCCCGACGGAAGAGAAAGACGAGTCCATCAAAGATATATTCTACGAGCGCCTGAACATGCTATATGAGCGCTGCCCTCAACGTGATGTCAAAATCGTACTTGGTGACTTCAACGCCAAGGTTGGAAGGGAAGGTATCTTTGGTGGAACTGTCGGAAAACACAGCCTACACGTCAACACGTCCGATAACGGAATGAGGCTGATTGACTTCGCGGCGGCCCGGAATATGGTTGAGCAGTTATAGGCTTTTCTATAACTGATAATGAGCAAGAATTAATTAACAGCTGTGCGAAATTGTTCAATTTAAAAATGCGATTTATTAACCAAGGTTTGGTTGCGATTGAATAATACAAAGTTCGGTATTAAGCGACGAAACAAGCTTATAAATGTATATATTAATTGCCTAAATGCAATTCAATTTATTAAACAATTGCCGAAGTGCAATGTTAATATGGAAATTGATCGAGTAGACGGAGAACTAGGGTTCACCGTACCGACACAAGCGAAAACGAACGATGCGACTTAACTGGTTGTTACTAAGCAAGCAAGTGTTTCGGCCGTTGCAGCAGTGCAGCGGCTTAGGCAAAATTATAGCAAATTAAGAACAATGCGTGAAGAAAATAGAAATTTGAGCGACAAAGCAAACAATGAGTAAAAATTACGTTAAATGGCTCAACTTGCTGCGTAGAGCAAGATTACAAATTGAGCGATTTTATGATCGAATCAAACAAATGTATTTATGATGAATTTTTGACATCTGGCTGTGGCGACTGCATAACCAAACAATGGTTATTAGTAGCACCAGATTCCAACATCTCGACATCCACAAGTCGACCTGGCTATCCCCTGATCGACAGACCCGAAACCAAATCGATCATGTGATGATCGACGGAAGACATGTATCTAGTGTGCTAGATGTTCGCACGATCCGTGGAGCCAATATTGATTCGGATCACCACCTTGTAGCAGCCAAGGTACGCACCTGTCTTAGTGTGCATTATAACGCACAGGTAGGCACACGAAGAAAACTAGACGTCAGTAAGCTGCAATCACAAACGGTAGCTAACGCCTTCACCTCTAGACTCTCGGATCTGCTTCGCCGAAGCACCTCCTCCGAACCCGAAACAATATGCTCACAGTGGAGTAATATCTCGCACTCTCTCGCTACCGCTAGCAGAGAGGTGGTAGGCTACTACCGCCCCAAGCGAAATTGCTGGTATGATGATGAGTGCCGCCGAGCAACGGTAGAGAAAAACGCCGCGTACCAACGAACCCTACAGTCATCAGCGACGCGAGCTGTTATAGAGCGATACAGGGAGAAGAGAAAGAATGAGAGACGCCTTTTTAGACGCAAAAAAAGGGAACAAGAATGGCGTGAGGAAGAGGAGATAGAAATGTATGGAAGCAGAAGAGAAGGTATAGCGTTTTATCGCAGGTTGCAAGCCCGGGCCAACATTCTGCAAAGATGAAAGCGGAAATCTGGTAAAGGATGTGAAGGAATCACTAAGACATTGGAGGGACCATTTCTCTAAGCTATTAGCAGGTGAAGACGACCAAAAAAAATCGCAAACGATGGCGTTGACATACCGCCACCCGTCTATGATGAAGTTTATTCAGCCATATCCAGGCTGAAAAATGGCAAGGCTGCAGGAGCGGATGGACTCCCAGCCGAGCTGTTCAAAACTGGCGGCGAACAGCTAATCGGGTGCATGCATCAGCTCTTATGCAAAATATGGTCGGAGGAAAGTATGCCCACCGATTGGAGTCTTAGTGTACTATGTCCCATATATAAAAAGGCGATCCTACAAATTGCGCCAACTACCGCGGAATCAGTCTTCTACCCATCGCATACAAGGCTAACGTAATGTGCAATAAACTGAAGCCGTACATAAACGAACTGATTGGACCTTATCAGTGTGGCTTCAGGCCTGGTAAATCAACAATAGACCAGATATACACATTGCGACAAATCCTGGAGAAAACCCGAGAGAAACAAATCGACACCCATCACCTTTTCGTCGACTTTAAAGCCGCTTTCGACTCGCCCGATAGAACGAAGTTTTTCGCAGCCATGTCTAAGTTTGGTATCCCGGCAAAGCTAGTACGGCTTTGTATGATGACGTTGAGAAACTCTTGCAGTTCCGTCTTGGTAGGAAAGGACCTCTCTGAACCATTCGATACCAAACGAGGTTTCAGACAGGGTGATACCCTATCGTGCGACTTCTTCAATCTTCTGCTGGAAACTATTTTGCGAAGGACCGATGTCAATAGGGCAGGCACTTTTTTTTATAAATGTTTCATGCTGCTAGCGTATGCCGACGATATTGACATCATTGGCACAAACGCACGCGCAGTGAGAGGAGCTTTCACAGAAATTGAGAGGGAATCGAAAAACATGGGTTTGGCGGTAAACATGGACAAGACAAAATACTTCCTATCTACAAGCAGACAGACACGGCGTATTGGAAACAGTGTCTTTATAGACAGATATGACTTTCAAGTAGTAGAGGATTTTGTCTACCTAGGGACCAGCATAAACAACACTAATGACGTCAGCTTGGAGATTCGCAGTCGGATAACCCTTGCCAACCGGTGCTACTATGGGCTAAGTAAACAGTTCATGAGTAGATCACACTCTCGACTCACTAAGCAAACCCTCTACAAGTCCCTTATCTTGCCTGTGCTTCTGTACGGCGCTGAAGCATGGACATTAACAACACCTGATAAGGCGACACTGGGAGGTTTCGAGAGAAAAATCCTGAGACGAATCTACGTACCCCTAAACGTTGACGGCGAGTATCGAATACGAATGAACTATGAGCTGTATGAGCTATACGGCGACATTGATGTAGTGAAGCGCATTCAGATCCAACGACTGCGCTGGCTAGGTCATGTCGTCCGCATGGATGACAGTGCTCCAGCCAAAAAAGTATTCGATTCGGACTCTGCTGGTGGACGACGCAGAAGAGAGCGACCATGTCTGCGATGGAAAGACCAAGCTATGCAGGACCTTAATAGTCTTGGTGTGACCAATTGGCGACAGCAGGCACAAGACAGAACACGCTGGTGAGGATTACTCGACGCGGCTAAAACCGACATCCGGTTGTAATGGCCACAAAAGAAGAAGAAGATGCCTTGGTATTCGAACTCACGTAAAGCGTGTACAATTAGACATTTACATAGGAATTGCGTCTATGTGAGTGTATGCATGTCTATTCGTACTTATGTGATCATGCATAGCAATATTGACCCAAGCAGCAACAATAACAGCAGCGCTTGGCCAAATATTATATTTGTGGCTATAACTTTCTTCTAAATCGCCCTACCATAATAAAACTTGGCATACAGACATAATCACGTAATCATAATAACAAATTCACTAACTGGAAGTCTTTGCCAAATTTAAGTCCAAGGTTCGGAGAGTGTGGGGGAAGGGGGGAGGTCTATCAAAAAATAAAAACAAAATCGATATGCCTAGGGCTTATGGGAACCTCGATACCAAATTTTGTTATCATAGCTCTTGTAATTGCTGAGAACCTTGCTAACACTAACATGACCTTACGCCTTCGTGGCACGGCAAAATTCTCCCCTTTTAATATTATTCTCTTACGTCTATATACATCTTTCCTTTTCCTTAAAACTACACCTCGCCATCCAGGATGTCGTTCTGCGGACCACAACGGTTTGGGGTCGCCGATTCGGTGCGCGGGTCTGCAATTCATTTTCCGTATTTGTTTTATTTACGTGTGAATTTTGGTTTTTGCGCGTGTTGTTCGTTCCCTTTCTTCTTCTTTTGTGCCGCAGCCAGCTGACGCTGGCGTTTTCATTACCGACGGCCGCTGCATATGTTAGCGGCTGCGCAAATTCAACTCGAGTTCGCGCACCCATGCTACTGTGACGCAGTTAAATTCTGCGCCACAAATTATTATTATTATATTGAATTCACTACTTTATATTGCACCTTTTTGAATAACCTAAGTTAACGTAGAGAATTAATCTGAGTAAATCTGTGTAATCAAGCAACAATCGTGGTGCAGCGTAGGGCCAACAGTGTTTATATTATAAATAAAAGGCAGCGCGCATTGATTT